GTTACTTCCAGTTACACATTAACCTGTGTTTGGATTGCTGGGGGTAAATGTGATGAGCTGTCTGAAAACTATTCACAGTATCTAGAGGAGGGAATTCATGATTTCTTTCCTGGCTCTCACCTTGGTCACACTGCTGTACTTCGCCTATTCTTTGCTGTGTGTGCTCTCTGAAAATTTGAATTTTGATTTTTGTGGGAAAAATCAGTATTATGTTCATGTGGTTTTCTAGAACAGTTCATTTAAGGCTATACATCCTTGTATGCCAATTCAAAGCCTGTTTTAAATTACTGCTGTGGTGATCATATGTTTTCTAAAGTTAACGAATTTTTATGACTTTTTTGCCTGGTAAAATGTACAGCTGAGTAACTGATGACAGCTGAATGACTTTGGCTTTCTATGGTGGAGGGATGGCATTGGTAGACAAAGGAAGGGCAGCTGATGTTGTCTATCTGAACTTGTGCAGTGCTGCTAACATGGTTCCACATCACATCATTATCTCTAAATTGAAGAGATATGGGTTTGAAAGCTGGACTATTCGGTGAATTAAGTATTGATTGGATGGGTTGTGAGCCAGAGAGTCGTTGTCAGTGGCTCTAAGTCCAGGTAGAGGTGGATCACAAATGGCATTCCCCAAGAGTTCATCCTAGGATCAGTGCTCTTCAGCATCTTTAGCAACGACATAAACAGGGATCAAGTGTACTCTCAGCAAGTTTGCTGATGACTCCATGCTGAGTGGCACAGTAGATACATTGGAAGGAAGAGATGCCGTCTACAGGGACCAGGCTTGAAAAGTGGGACCATGAAAATATAATGAGGTTCAACAAGGCCACGTACAAGATGTTGTACTTGAGTCAAGGCAATCCCAGGTATGTGTACAGACTGGGAGAAGAACTCATTGAGAGGAGCTCTGCTGAGGAGGACTTGGGGATTCTCATGGACAAAATAGCTGGACATCAGCCAGCAGTGTGCTCTTGCAGCCCAGAAAGCCAACAGTATCCCGGACTGCATTAAAAAGGGGTGGCCAGCAGGGAGAGGGAAGTGATTGTCTCCCTCTACTTGGCTCTTGTGAGCCCCATCTGGAGTACTCCTTCCAGGCCTGGGTTCCTGGTATGGGAAGCATGCCGGTCCTCTGGAGCAGGTCCAAAGGAAAGGCCACAAAGATGGCCAGAGGGTTGGAACACCTCTGATGAAAAAAGGCTGAGAGAGTTGGGCTTGTTTTGCTCAGAGGAAGCTAAGGGGAGATCTCATTGCAGCCTTCCAGTACTTGAAGGGCACTGTGCTTGGGTTCTTCAATAGCCAAAGGCAGAGTGAATGCTTTTGTGTCATATGTTTTCCTTACCAATCACCCTGAAGTCCGTTACCAAACTCCTTGAAGTCCATTACCATTCAGAGCTAGAACTCTTTGGGACACATTCACTGTTCAAAGAGATGCCAAAGTCTTATCTGTTTATCCATTCACTTTACTGGAGTTTACATCTGCAATGGAGTAACTAAGCTGAATGGGTAGAGGAGGCTTCTGAGACATTGCCTTAGAAAACAGATTTAGTTGATACTCATAACCTTGCTGGGTTATGAGTATTATTTATAATGGCACCTAGTGCAATGGGGTACTACTACCTGCTGCCATTTAAACTGGTGGAAGGTAGGTGGTGATCCCTGAGAGATTATTGGTGACTCGTACCAGCTCTTTAGATAGGCTGAAGTTGGCAGCATTGCAGTCATTCAGTGCATGATGTGGGCATTTGCTACAATTTCATTACTTTATAAATGAAGCTGGTCTTTCCAGTAGAAATAAGTTACTAGCAGAGTCAATGTGTAATTAATAATGCTGTCCCCTGCATTCAACAGAGTCTTGAAATACCTTTCCTGTTACAAAATTACTGTGATGTAGTTGTCTCTTCATGCATATTTGAAATCAAGGAAGGTGCAGGTAATGAGGTGCAATGGGATCATACTGTGTCACAGGGCCCAAAATAGCCCTGTGTCTTGTGTCTTTTCACTTCAAACCCTAGTGGTTGTTTGCAGATCTCACCTTTAGCAGCAGACTGACTGGTGCATCACCCAAAAAGTATAAGTCATATGACATCAATAATCCATAAAGATTACTGACTGGAAGTACTGAAGATATCATATTCTGGTAGGTACATCATGGTATTTGCAGCAGCTTCCTGCAGAAAATCTTACTCAGATTGTTACTCTAGTATAGGAAGTTGTGCAAAATTCGGTGTTAAAAACTGCTATAGAAGCACTAGTATAACAGAGTATGGGGTTTTTGTTCCTTCTGGCCCAGGATGTCTAAGTCACAGCATGGTCCATTAGCTGGCTGCAGGGACCCTGGCAGCAAGGACTTTGCATGGAGCAGGAGGCTGACCCCAGAGCAGCTACCTGGGGTTTGCCTGTGGCTCTTTGATCCTGGGCTGATTCAGAGGATGCTTACTGAACCTTATTTAGCTGAGCACCAAGCTGAAGACTGCCTATGCTAGCTGTGCCTAGCAGGCTGGTACTGAGGCAGCATTGTCCAGAAAGCAGTGGGTGCTCAGGTTGGATGTAGAGCCTGGCATGCTTTTCTTTAGTGGTTGTTGGTTTAAGACCTGCATTCAGAAAACTTTGCTTGTTACAAGAAAGCGCTGCCTGCTTTGCCAAATCATATTTCCATTTGATTTTAACTGCCAAAGTCTGGTGAACTGCTGTAGAAAGCAATAGTTTATACTGTTTATAAACAAATGCTTTGAGATCTTGGCAGACATAAGGAAATGGTTTGTAACTCTAGCACATCTCAAAATGTCAGTCACTAAAATCATGTTAGAAGTCCTGAAGGAGGGAAGAGGAGAAATGAGAAGTATAAGGATGTTTTTAATGATATCAGATCCCATAAGGCTTGCCAGGACTAAAAACGAAATAATTCATAGTATGCCATTTCTAAATGGGAATTTCCAGTTTTCCATAAATATGGAGCTTACTGTTCTTGGGCTTTATGAGATAGGATCTTAAAATTAAAGAAAAGCTGTAGTATAGAATTGCGGTTTTGGCAGCAGTCTGAGTTTTTTTTTTGTTGTTGTTGTTGTTTTTTTGTTGTTTTTTTTTTAAGGGATAAATATATCAGCTCTTGGCAAATGTAGTTTCTAATCTTTTACTTTCCACCTTTGCAGAAAATAAATTGTACTTGATACAGACTAAGAAGGAATTGTTGCATAATTTTCATTAACAGGCAAACTGGAATTAAGTTTTTGAGAGTTTTGACTTTTGGTTATTGTGCAGAGTATGACATTATTTTTTATCACATTATTCTTATGCTAGTCTCAGTTTACTTCCAAAGGAAGTACTTGACTTACAGCATCTTAACATAAAAAAAGTTAGATTAAAACTTTGATTATTTTTTAGCTGTGTATTTTCACAAAATCTAGAACTATATTGATTTCCCTTTGTGAAGCTTTGCTCCTTCTACAATCAGAAGACGTTAGGAGGCCTTTGCTACTAGCTTAAATGCTAGATTAGTGTATGCTCTTCATAATCAAAAGCAGTGTGAAGAGAAACGTGCCCATAGGACACTGATGGTGTCTGTGGCACTTAGGTTTGCTGCTGCTCAGAGCCATGAAACAGAGTCAGCTCATGCAGCTTTCTGTAATATCTGCAGTCAGGACCACACTATTTGAAAACTAAATCCTGAATGTCTGTTAATCACAAAATCACAGAATTGTAGGTGTTTGAAGGGAGCTCAGGAGATCACCTGGCACAAAGCCCTGTTGCTGTTAAAACTGATGTCTTAACATTTCAGTAGAAAAAGCAAATCGAGTGTAGGATTCATCCTGAGTATCATATTCAGAGATCAGATCTTGATTGGTGGCTGTCATTCTGCAAAGGCATTATTTATACCATTTTATTTTTATTCTTCTTACAATGTTGTTGCTTTTTTTTTGTTTTTGTTTTAGAAATAGTTATGTACATTACTGATTTAGGATTAGTATTTTATTTTTCTGCTTCCAGTAGACAGAATGTCTTAGGAAAGTCATTATTTGACTGCAGATTACCTGTGTTCTGTTCATACAATATATCAGAAATTAGATAATTACCATGTTAGCCAGAGTCGTACATTTCTCATCCCAACCCATAAATCTTGTTCTATTTAATGTAGTTAAAATTCTGCAGTCACAGACCTGTACAAAGTTTAGCTTAGTAGGAAAATAGAAGGTTTTACTTGCCAAGTTACAGGAACACTTATTTTTAATTTATCATTTAATCATTCCATGGTAACTTTTATGATTTTTTTTTCAACTATTGGATTTAGGAACATTTATCAAATTTTAAGCAATTAAGAAACTGCAGATTTTTGAGAGGCCTGTCCTTGTCTTGGCTGGATTATATTTCTTCCTAGTACTTTATATGGTGCTGTGCTTTGAATATGGGATGAGAATGTGTTGATAACAAAGTAAAGTTTTAGTTGAGGCTGAGCAATGATTGCAGGGAATCAAGGACTTTTCAGCTTCTCACAGTGCTCTGCCAGCAAGCACTGGGGGAACTCAAGGAGCTGCGAGGAGTTGGAAGCTGGACTTCTGACACAAACTGACCACAGAGATCATGCTGACCATGTGGCATCAGACTCAGCAATAAAACTGCATGGGGGGACAGCTTCTGTTTAGAGATTGGCTGTGCTTCGTTCAGCAGGTGATGAGCAATTCCATTGTGCATTACTTGTTATGTACATTCTGTTAGTGTTATTATGTTCCTTTTTTGTCCTACTAAACTGTCCTTTGATTTTTATTTATTTTTTCCTCCTTACTGATTTTCTTTCCTATCTCAGTGAGGCGGTGGGGTATGAGTAAATGACTGAGTGGTGCTGATCTGCCTGCCAGGTTAAACCACAACAGGCGATGCAAATATTTCTCAAATTTTAAGACTTTCTGATTAGTAGTTGAACTTTTACATTTTTTATGACAATATATAAATGAGAGAAGAAAATAGTTGGAGAAATAATTACCTTTTCCACATTTTCTTTTTTCCAGCACAGGGACATTCTACCCTTGATGTTTTTAAGAAGCTGAAAACTCCACCTACTTTCTTCGCTGCAGCTAGACTTTCAACTATGCTGAATGGAAGTGATGAAGTCTATGCAAACTGCATGCTAGTAGACCAGGTAAGTTTATGTTTGGACTTCTGGAAAAGGTGGAAAGGTGAAGTCAGTGTCCTTTGGTTGATAAAGAGTATTGTGCCTCTGGTGCTCCTGACTGAGGAGTTGTGCTTCTCATTCATTAGCAGCACTGGAGATTGTGTCCAGACCAATTTGTATTGTAGATCACCATATTACACCTTAAATCCATCTCCATGATCACATTTAAGTATCATAACTTGGGGAAGAGGGACTAGTCCAACCTTAGTCATTGTGTACAGTTAAACAGCTGCAAAATTTTGATGGCATGCAGCTGTGGCTTTCGTGATGGTTGAACTGATGTATTTGTTTGTTATGTTCTGTGGGCTCTCTCTGGTTAAAATCTTGAATGTAGGAAGAAGAAATAATAAGGTTGTAATATTAGAAGAAAGCTTTATCTGCCTGAAACACTTAAGTACTGCATACAGGCCCAGGTCTTTGTTACAGCTGAGACAGAAGTTTCAGTTAGAGGACATCATATTCAAAATATACCTAGCGTTACTGAGAGATTCACAAAATAATGACCTAGCAGTGAGCTGACAGCAGGGTCTGTTCACACATACGCGTGACCTTTTTTTAGCAATATCCTGCTGTAAGGAGAGAGCAGCAGAAATGCAAATATTATCTGACTGTATTGCTTCTGAGACTTTCAGCTTGGTTTACGGCTCTCTGACAGCTCAATGCATAGCCATGTTCAACCTCATTGAATTACTGTTTGGAGTGATATTCCCTTTGAGTGCTGCTCATCTAGAGCTGCTGCCCTTGTCTGCAGCTGCAATAGGGAATCCCTCTGGTGTGAAGTGGGAACAGTGCCCAAAGGGAATAACTTTGAAGGGAGGAGCAGCTGCATGAACCCCTGGAGAAGAATTTTATTTTCATGCATCTCATTTGTGCAGCACCACAGAAATACCTGAGTAGAAATCTGGACTGCTGTAAAAATGTCAGCAGTTCTTTCTGTATTTTATGATGAGAAACATTGTTATGATCAGGAGGAAAACATGTCTCTAGTGGGGTTGGAGAGGAGGAAGGCAGCAGTCTGAGAAACGAGGGCTTTGGAAACACTTCCTTCACTCCTTTCTTTTTGCTTGCTTATCCAGGTGCTTTTTGGAGGTCATTTTCAATGGCTGAGTGACAAATCATTATTATTCAACATTTGACTAGACAGTACTAGTGTCTAAATGGAATGTGTCTAAAAGACTGACACATTCCATAGAGTTGATAGGAGATTTCAACCTATATTTAATGAAGAGCTAACAATTTCTAACCAGAGTATCTTTGTACCTGAGTAAACATGATTCGTAAATGCATTCCTGTTTTTGTGCAAGCAGAGGGATGCTTCATGGTTGTAACGGTTAACACAAAAAAGAAAGATTACTTTCCCTTCCTTTCATGGACAACCTCTGTTCCAGGTTGTAACATTTATCACAGAGCTCAGGGAGCCAGTGCTGGGGAAAAAAAAAAAAAAAAGCCATAATGTGTAGGCTGATTTTTGCAATTAAATCACACAATCTTCCCCATACTAATGTGTTATACATATTTTTTGCTTGACCTAAAGATTTTTTTAAAATACAAACTATAATTTTGATTTGATATACTTAACCAAGTTACAGATATGAGAGAGAATTCAATTAGACTTGCAAATATTAATTTATTACTGCTGCTATTATGGAGAAAGTAATGCAAGGTCTAATAATTCTTAAGCCATATAACTTTCAGTTCACACACTGTGAAAAGTAACAGATAAAAAAAGGCAAATCATGTAACCATAAATAATGTTCAAATAATCTGTTCCTTGCTCTTTAACGATGCATCTTGTTACCATGTTTGATCAGCATTTGCTTTTTTCTGCAGGCTGAAGATTTAAAAATGAACTACATTCATGGAGATAGTATTAGCAGTGAAACGTGTCTGAATCCCACTAGCTCAGCTCCAGTAGCGAAGAGCTCTTCATCTCATTCCCTTGAGGAGAATGACCAGTATAGATGTGATCCAATTGAAGGAAATCGGATGTCAGTGAAAAATGAAGGAAATGCAGGCTTAAGACCTACTGTTTCACCTTCTGATCTGCATGAAGCAGTTTCCTATCTTCCATTCAAGACAAATGAGTTTATTAAGGAGCAGAGCCAACTTCATGTTGTTATGAAAAAGAAGAGGTATGGAACTGACCTGATATTACAGCCAGTTAGAATTATTTATGATAACCTTTTGTTTCAAAGGGTGAAGCAGAATCTGGGATAATAAATGTTTTTATCAAGGTAAAATTACTGTTTTCAACCACAGGTATTTGACTTCATGATCTGTTTTTGTATGGTAGCTATGGTTCTTTTTAAAAAAAACAAAAGGGAACACTTAAGTAAATTCATTTTAATGCAAATTATACTTTTTGTGTTAAATCTTTTTTTTTTTTTTCTGTGTATGTATTCTTCAAAAACAAAAATCAGCTCTTCACTGTAAGAAATCGCATTCTTCCATTTTTGCCAGAAATTGTAATTTCTCCCCCACTTTTCTGCACTTATATTTACCGTTAAGGAAATGTTTTAAAATCTGTCTAATTCTGTGGATATATTTTCTTTCTTAGCACTGACCTATGGAAGTGACAACAGATTCCTGATCACATTTACATTTTTTTTTTTTTCTCAGAAGATACAATACACAGTACAGCTTGTGTTTCCAGCAGGCTCAGACTTTTTTTCTGCTCTTCTGCTGATATAAAACTCAGAGGCAGATCTCTTAGGACACTCCCTCAGATGGCTTTAAATTATGGTAGGAATTAAATGTCTCTAGGAAGGCAGAGAGGGTCTTGAAGGAGAAATTGTTATTTTTGTTTTTAACAACTAGTTAATTCCCTAGGGAAAAGAAAAAGGCAGGGGGGAAAGAAAACAACAACAACAGCAAACAAGCTTTATGGCTTCTTTTGAGTAGAAGGAACCTGAAATACATTTCTTCTTGCACAGAAGATAATTGGAAACTGTCTCCTATTGTCCAGGAGTGTTTGGGCTAACTGAAATTAGGGCACTACATTTACTAACAGCACTTGTAAAGGAAGCAGTAATGTCTGTTCATCATTGTTGATTAAAGTAACCTATATCATTTCCTATATCAAAACTTTGCTTTCCTTAACTAACTGTAAAGTCCTACCAGGAAAAATGTTTTTCCACAGATAATACAACATATTAGACTGAAAGTGCTTCTTTCCCACCAGGTCTTTTCTTTTAGCTAGCTATGATGGTAATGCGTAGAATACTATAAATGACTTTCTTCTGCCTCTCTGAAAAAAACACTTTTTATTCTGTTCTTTTAAAATTATTCTCAACTTTTTAAGGCCTATATGAGCTTTATGAGCTTATATGAATTTTCAGAGAGATTTGTTTGACCTTTATAAATTAACTATAAGTGATCAAATATTACACATAAAATGAGAATATTAGTATCTAATTTCAACATCTACTTCCTCGAGGTGTCTGAGGTACTGTAGCAGGTTAGCAGATTTTTCAAACATCTTTTTATGTCAAAAATTGTATTGGTAGATTTGTCTTTAGCAAAGTGAATTGTAGTGGTGTGGGAAAGAATTGTGCTAATATTCCTGGTAGAAACTCTGACTATTTAGAAATACTGCACATTAATTAAAGTTTTATGTTGCAAGGCTGGAATGTTATTGCAGTCAGTCAACCAGTCATTCAGTTCATACAGACCATGAACTCACGTACACATCCACTGAGACTCATCATAGGACTTGCCACAGCCTGATGCTGTTATGGTCTTGTTCTCTACCAGAACCTCTGCCACTCAGTAAATCTCTAGATATCTGATGCGTTGATCCCTGATGCTAGGGATTTTTTCAGTATATTTATAAAATCACAAAATGATTGGTGTTAGAAGGGATCTTAAAGATCATCTTTTTCAGCTGCCATGGACAGAGCCATTGTCCACTAGCCCAGGTTGATCAGAGTCCCTCTACCTGGCCTTTACATGCAGGGATGGAGCACCCACAGCTTCTCTGGGCACTCTATTTCAGTGTCTCACCACCTGTATATATCTATATGTTTTTATGTTTTTAAAAGTATAGGTCTTGAAATTAATCTCATAAACTATTTCATATCCTCCTTCATACATTTTAACTTTCTCTTCCATCCTCCATCTGTTCACAGCTGTAGAATACTCCTGTGAATTGCCACATCATATATTTTAAATAAACACACATGCACACACATATAATGGGAAAATCCACATGTGTACTTATCTTTCTAGTAAAATATGAATTAGTTGTCTAAATTCTCTGTGTTGTGTATGTAGAGAGGTGGGTATGAGTACTTGTGTGAAACAAAACACTCACCTTTAACAGTGATGCCTACCATGGGTCTGAACATTATCCGCAGAGGTGGCTGACTGTGGTGGGGTCCTACAGAGAGTCAGCAATATAAACATTTGCACTGCATATCAACAGGGTCAGTACAGGTGAATCTTGTGCAAGGTGACGCAGTACCAGGTCCTCTAGGGAACTGTCTTGGGACCGATGCTCTTTAACATCTTTATCAATGACATTGATGATGGAATTGAGTGCAACCTCAGCAAATTTGCTGATGACACCAAGCTGAGTGGTGTGGTTGACACGATGGAAGGAAGGGATGCCATTCAGAGGGACCTCAACAGGCTTGAAAGATGGGCCCGGGTGAACCTAATGAGGTTCAACACAGCAAAGTTCAAGGTTTTGCACTTGGGCCAAAGGAATCCAAGGCATTATACAGACTGGAAGGAGCAGTCCTTGAGAGCAGCCTTGCAGAGAAGGACCTGGGAGTCCTGATGGATGAAAAGCTTAACATGAGGCAGCAGTGTGCTCTTGCAGCTTGGAAAGCAGATGGTATCCTGGGCTCCATCAAAAGAGGGGTGGCCAGCAGGGATGGGGAGATGATTGCTCCTCTCTACTCTGCCCTCGTGAGGCATCTGGAGTACTGTGTCCAGGTCTGGAGCCAAAAATGATCACGGGGCTGGAGCACCACTTCTATGAAGACAGGCTGAGGGAACTGGGCTTGTTCAGCCTGGAGAAAAGAAGGCAGTGGGACAACCTCATTGCAGCCTTTCAGTACCTAAAGGGAGCATACAAAGAGGAGGGGAATCAACTCTTTGCAAGGGTAGATAACATCAGGACAAGGGGAAATGGTTTTAAGTTGAGGGAGGGAAGATTTAGGTAGGATGTCAGGGGGAAGTTCTTTACTGTGAGAGTGGTGAGGTGCTGGAACAGGCTGCCCACAGAGGCTGTGGATGCCCCATCCCGAGAGGTGTTCAAGGCCAGATTGGACAGGGCCCTGGGCAGCCTGGTCTAGCATTAAATGAGGAGGTTGGTGGCCCTGCATGTGGCAGGGGGGTTGGAGCTTCATAATCCTTGAGGTCCCTTCCAACCTTGGCAATTCTGTGATTCTTTGATTCATGACCACGTGACTGAAAACATGAGAGGGCACTCAGAGCATGACTTAACACAGTGGTGGTGGCTTGGGTTGTCACTTAGTAGCAGGGCATTCAGAGGTATTGCATGTTGCACTGAGACTGATTCCTAGGGCATATATTAATTAAATACTGTGTTGTCTGCTTCAGTTCAAGTCTCGATGACCTTGAAGTAAACAGCAGAAGTGAAAGTATTTCAGATAGATCCAATATACCCTACCCTCTTCTTGAACATCCGGAGGTGAAGGCTTGTAGCAGAGATGGATTAGACCCTTATGAGATGAGCATCAGCCGGACAGAATCACTACCCTTATCTATCAGTCCACAGCCCAAGGTATTTAATACTGTTTTGGTTTGGATTGTCTTCCTGTTATGTCAGTCACTGAAAATATACGAGGAAGTATTTGAATCTTAAAGGGAAAAATCATTTCGCAGGTGAAAGTCACAGGTGCTGGTCTGTCCAGGAAGCAGGATGGGTGGGGGTGCTCCTGGTTGTGGCCAGGCTTGGCAGCAGCACATGGAATGGACCACCAGAGAGTTGCTTCAGCTTTGGAAAAAAACACCGTTTATTGGAAGTGTTTCAGAGGAAATAGATCAGGTTTAGTGAATCAGCATTTTCTAATAAAAATAGTTAGAAAATATTTAACCAGCTGCAGTAATGTGAAAAGGCAACAGGATAAAACCAATCTTCTGCTTGTTTTAAAGCAGTTGCCAGACTCTGGGAGAGTCAGCTGGGTTTTGTACAATGAACGGTGCAAATCTCTCCTCCTGATTATAATTTTCAAAATATTCTGGCTACTTTGTTTTCTTTAGACCCTGGTGCCATTTCTGGGAACTTCAGACATGCATGCACAGTTATTTTATATTCATAGGGATTTTTTATATTTTATCAGACAAGCATCTTACCAAAGTTTAGTTTTATCTGAACTTCAGCAAATAATTACGTTAAGGAAGAAAAAAGTCCTGTGCAGACAGTTGATTTTGTTAGGGCTACTTTCAAAGGCAGTAAGGTAAGCAGTGAAATTTAAGATAAGCTCTTGAAATTTAAATGATGTATAGAAAAATCATGGTGAGTTCCTTTCAAGGTGTATCACTGTATCACAGTTAGGAATCAGAATGTCTTTTCAAGCACAGTCCAAAAAAAAGCAGCAGGAAGAGAGAGAGAGAAGATAACTATTTTCTTATCACTAATTGCTCTGATAAGGTGTTAGCCTGTTTGAAATGTTCTTGTGGTGTTAAAACACAAAGAAGTAATGACCTCCATAGTAAGAGGACATAACTTTGTCATCAGATATAATGGTGCACAAAATTAGCTGAAATGCTTCTTGCCACAAAATTGGAGAAAAATGCAAGCTTTCTCTTAGTCTGACCTGCAACCAAAAATTATTTCATGAAACATACTAAAATTTTTCATGATGAAATTATGACAGGCTGTGTAAGAATTCAAGTGAAGTAGTCAGTAATTGTACTTAAATTTAAAGCTTTACTAAAAGCAAGTAAAGTTATGTATAAAATCAGCTGTCTCTGCCATAAATTCTGCCACTTTTATTTTTGTTTATTTTGGTTCTAGTGCTGATGAATTTCAAACGAATACAGGTTCTTATCTGCTGCAATTTCTTGCAGGAATGCTCACCCTCTGGAATTCGGTCACGCTCGTATTCCTGTTCCTCCCCTAAAGATTCATTGGGAAGACCTCGCATTCCTCAGGACTTCACAGTCAGTGATTCAAGTGAAGGTCAGTGCCAGCTCTACTCTGGCTTTGAATATGTGCAGCCCCATCTCATGTTTACCTGCTTCAACCCAGTGCTGACCTCTTTACTGAGGCCTACCCTCCCTCTGGCAGTTGCATGCCCGAAGTCTGTGAACGTGCAGATCACAGAATCACAGAATCACCAAGGTTGGAAAAGATCTTCAAGATCATCCAGTCCAACCATCGACTGGTGCCCGTGGAAGAATGAGTTAGCTGCCCTTAGGTACCCCTGCCATCTTCCATTGCTCTTCTGCCATGTCCTGCTTTATCACACCACCCATAGCAGCTAATCCTTAGGAGGACATAAGATTTGTGACAATGAGAGTGCTTAGTCAGAAAAAATAATGCAGACGAGAGTAATCATCTTCTTTTCCAAAGAGCCTTACTCTAACATGCTGTGTGCCCTGTGGAAACTGCAAGGATGCTAAGGATGGAGAAATTCCTAGGGAGAATGGGTGGTCTCAGCTTCCCTTAGATCCTGAAGAATGTCTAAAAGTGGTGAATGTGCTGTGAACTCAGTCCACTTCCGATCACTTCACTTCCTGTGTTGTAGGAAATGAATTTCTTTTACTGTAATTTCTTACGTATTGTTTCTAATATGTTTTATTTTAAGATACGTAGTAAAACTTCAAGACTTCAGATTGTCTTGTGAGGAGGATTATCTACTGCAGCATGTAGCTGCATTGTATTTTGCCATTTCACCTATGTGTTTGCAACCATTTGTATCCAGCAGGTTAGTGAGAAGTCTTTGTAAAAGCAAAGAAGTAAATAAGGAGAATCTGTCATGGACATATGAGATGACTGATAAGCAAAGCTCTGCAACATGTGTGCTTGGACTTAAATCCAAGTTCTTTAGACCTCCTTACCAAAGGGACTGTTGGTGTTACAGATCATTACATTTCCTTCAGACATTGTTACCTGCTCCAACCTGATTCAGGGTTGAGTTCATGTCCCTTTCATTCTTTTCTCTCTTCTCCCTAAGTCAGTCTGTGCTAGAAGTTTCCCTGTATTGTGGAAACCTCCTTGCCATGCTTTTGAAACAGTCCTCTGTGCAGCACATTTGGCATGTGCTGCACCACCAGCTGCTGGGAGCGAGGGACACAGATGCCTAACACTCACCCTGACCTCTGCAGGCTGTAGCAGGGCTGTGTCTGGGTCCCTTCAGGCATCTGCTTTCTAGAAACCTGTCCCCGTCCCTCTGCCTAGCTGCCAGTGCTGGGGGTGTTTCACTCAGGGCTCAGCTGTGCCTGGGGAAAAGCACAGAAAAACCCTGCACTGTAGTGAGGTAAACACCAAAGCACAGTGGCAGAAGGCTGATCTTTCTCAGAATGAGTACAAAGAAAAAAAAAAGTGGGACATCACGGTCTGTTTTTGATGGAAGTTTTTCAGTACACTGAGCTTGAGAACAACTACTTGCTTTTATTTGAGAAGGTATCAGTAGGCTGTAAAGTAAAGGATTTGTCCCTGCTCTATAGATGGTGTTCCCATGAACAGTGGCCGATCCCTCCTTCAGGCTCTGTCACTCTCTAAGTCAGTGTCCCTGCTCCACCCCAGTAGTAAGTACCAAGATGACAACCCTGTGGCGCTGTTATGCATGAGTCTGTCTTCATCTCCCTCAGGCATGTGGCCTTTGTGTTTTCAGAAAGCATCCTGTTGCACAGGTTTTGTCTGGCAGCTTAGTGAAATGCTATTCTGGTCTCATGGCTTCTTTGATAAGCGTTCCAGCTCTAACTAACATGAAGTGTATGTCTGCCTGAAGACAAACTGACTCCGTGCAGTGTGTTCACATTTGTATCTAACTTTAAACATGGCACAGTCTAATGCTTCAAGTTAGATTTGTCAGTACCTTTGTGATACTTCCAAGCAGTCTCTGCAAAAATGAATGACTTCTAATATGGAAATAGTAGAAGGGGCTCTAATTTTTCAAAGCAACCTGGTTTACTGACCTATCTCTATCTGTTACCTATTATTGCTATTTAGACATTTTGTTTTAAACTGTTTCCATGAGATCTTATCAGTCTTTCCAGGATGTAAACTTGTAATATATCACCCAGTTTTTGCAGAACATAGGCTAGTAATATTATTCTGTATGAAAGGGGATTTAAAAAAAATGGCTCTAGATAAAGCTGCATTTGTGAATGATGTTAGAAGAATGTCATTAAGATATATTATGACGGATGAGTTAAAAAACAAATGGGAGTATAAATGGTTCAAGTCTGACTTGTCAAGTAAAACAAAATATATTTTCTAGTTCTTAAAAACAGACTGTAGAAACTGGCATTTGCAGGTATCCATTTCAGTTCTGACAAGTTCTGTCTGCTGACCATGGCTCAGTAGGCCATGGTGTAGGAAAAGCTGCTTCTAACATATTTATTTTTTTGCTTCCCTGATTTTCAAGTGATGTTGCAATTGGTTAATGACAAGCTTATGATCTGATGAAGGTTGCGTGTTTCCCCTGAGCATGATGACTTCCTCATGTGAGTGTTGGTTAACTGATTGTGTCTTGCAGAACGAGCATACAGCTTGCCCGAGCACTCCCGAGAGAAAAGGTAGGGTGCCTGTTGTACATGTGTGTCCCAGCTCCAGTAGCAGTCTATGTAGGTGCACACCTGATGAGTGAAGCAGGCCCCTGCCAGGCCATCTGCATGCACAGGCCTACATTCTGCACAGAGCTCAACCTCTGGCTCGTTGTTTCTGGGCTCACTGTGAGGTGCATGTCCCACAGCGCCACAAAATTTGCTCAGTGGGAACAATCTGTGGAGGCAGCCAAATTACTCCAAGGAAAGCAAGGAAGTGTTTGCTGATAGTCATGACAAGCTGGCACACCGTCTGTGCTCTACATGGTCTAACGTGCAGTCATAGAGTGGCTTGGGTTGGAAGGGACCTTAAAGACAATCTGCTTTTAATCCTCCTGCCATGGGAAGTGTTGCCTCCCTAGTCAGGTTGCCCAGGACCCCTCCATCCTGTTTAGTAGTATTCATTTTTATAAAAAGCATTTATAATCTTTTTGACGACAAAAACAAACAAACAAACAAACAACAGAATTGAACACTGTAGTTGTAAATGTTAGGCAGCCACCATCTAGATTATTTTCCACTGGGATGAGATGCTTTTGCTGGTCTGTGTTCTAGGATTCAGGAGGAAGAATGGGATAAGTATATTGTACCTTCAAAAACAGAGTCTGAAAAATACAAAGTGAGTCGGACTTTCAGCTTTCTGATGAATAGAATGACTAGCACACGGAATAAGTACAAGGTAATCTGAGATTTATGTATGTACTATTATGATGCTATGATTGTGTGATTTGTAAATGAGAATCTAAATTTTTATATAAAGATAGATCGTTGTTTATTACAAAAGCACAAAATAAGGAGAACTTCAATCTTTTAATTTTAAAATACATGCAGAATATCCTGAAAGGGCATAGTAGAAGAACTTTTTTTTTTAAACAGTAGCTTTAGCCAAATTACATCAAGGGTTACCTTTTGCCATTTTTTCATATTATGAATAATCTGATTTGACTCCTTAGCTGAAGTAGAAATATCTGAATTGCTTTTAACAAATAATTGTATCTATTAAATAAAAGTTATGGTTTTCTTCTTGCAATTGCTCCTACAAGTGCTCAGTTCTGTAACTTCTACATTGAAACTTAATCAGTTGAATTTTCTTAATTTGATGTTAACAAGGCTTCTTGAATGAATACGTACTGCTTAACATTAAAGAGTTGCAGATGCAAGGCCTTCACAGCCAGACACATCTACTATGAAAAGTAGATTAAAACATTTGTGGGTTAATTTTGAGACACCTGAAATATAGATTAACGAATGGCATCAGCAGCTTTAGAGGTGGATTTGTCCTGTTGCATTCTCCTGTGCCCCAGGATATTATGACATATGTGGATGTGAAGATGGCAAACTGCTGCTACGGTGATAACATGGCAGAGCTGGCTGTGCATATGTGTGTCCTGTCCAGCAGCCATACATAAGAGTGTGTCTGTGTGGTCTCCTAAATAATGATGCCAGAAATGCTCAGAGGAGTGTGTACTCACACCAACAGAAGTGCTGTAAAAATAGGCAAAAATTATTAAATTCATTAATGTTGTTAATTAATAGTTTATTTCCCATGTCATTTAATACCTGAATACAGGTTGTATAAGGTTATGTAAATACAGCTTTAATTGCACAGGCATGACTTTGCATGGATTTCACAAGGAGATGCAAACATTGATACTTGTTTGGTTGTGTGTGGCCAGTCAGTAAGACTTCATAAATTTTGTTTTCTGGCTCTTTTGTTTTTGCAGGCTTATAACTGGCAGTCTTCCTTGATAAGGTTTGCTGGCCTAACTGTCAGTGTAAGCAATGCCATTAATGATGTTAGATAAAATAATATAGTATACTGTTCTAGGTCTTTCAGTACAGCAAATAAATGTTTCAAAATGTTTTGCTCTTAAAAAGAGAACATTGTTGTGTTTTTAAGGTTGAATAATTTTATTTTCTTTCCTAATACTCCCCCTCTTTCT